AAAAAAAAAAAAAAAAAAAAAAAAAAAAGAATATCTCTGAAGCTTCAACACATGGAGTCAGTACAGTAGACAGCAATATAAAAGGGACTAACAAACTACATAACACATCATCTCCAGTACAAGTCCTGTTCCAAGACAGGCCTATTAATTTTGGAAACAATTCACTGCTATGAGATACCAGTCAAGTTACTAAAACTGATCTAGTGAATGCTTGATTTGTTATCTCAGCAATAAAAGAGGGTTACCTATGATGACACTTGCATGAGAAAAGAAGCTTTGTTTCCAACAAAATTAGCTTGTGCAATTATTTGTGAAAAATTCTGCTAAAAAATTCTACACAGATAGATTTAAGAAGGCAGAGTTTGCATTTTAAACTTGCATCCAAGAGCTACATCACACAGTTTTTCACCGTGTTCAGATATGACAATACATTCCCACTGATAACCTTTAAACAGGGAGGTTCCTACACACTGGTTTTTAGTGTGCGCATTTTTGTTTCGATTTGTCAGTTACAGAGCCCTAAATACATTCATCATGCATGTACTTATTTTTGGTAGCTACCATATTTATGTTGGATTCCTTATTTGGACTCCTTTCACAAACTCCAGTATCTGAGCAGCAAAGTCTAGTCATTCCACCTCACGTTCACCAGTTGCTCTTATATTTGAGGGCTAATTCATGGGTGACGATAACCAGTGAGCTATTGCACACTACATAATGCACATTTCACTCACAAGCAGAGATAAAATTATGCTGCTGCAGGCAGGCTGACTGAAATGATCATATTTTAAGGTATGACCTCTGTTCATCCCACTAGACCATTAACTCTACAATCCATGTCTACTGTTAAGAGAAATATTTAGCTAATATGCTTTATCCTGCATGACTGGACTAATTTAATAAAGATATGCTGCAAGAATAAGATACATCTCAGACACAATTTACATTTTTGTCTTTTCACTATAGAACCCAGGGAAAGTTGGAGGAAAGAAAAACAAATCAGGATTTGGGAACACTAAGCTGAAGATACGGCATTAAGAGAGGACAAAATGTGCTGAATAATGGAAAGATATTTAAAGCTACTCGGTAATACTAATGGATATGTCAACGTGTGTGGAATGAGTTCGCTAATGCATGCCCACAGACACCTCTCTCCCCACATTTCTTCAAGTAGTTCATAACGAAAAAACTAAAGACTTGCAGTGGCCTTACCAATCAGGCCCATGACAGAAGCATAACCAAGGCAATCTCACCTATATAGGAATGTTTCGTCTGCAACAGATAAATTAAAAGATTTCACTCCTCCTTCTGCATACAGACACTTAGCACTTCTGTGAACTCTGAAAAACCATGGTTGGTAGTTGGGAATATAAACAGCTTTCTTCAGCTGCTGACAAAAGTACAGCATGTTTGTGTGTTTTCAGGCACTGTTTAAAAGAGCGTGATCTTCTCAGTTTCATTATGACTAGTTGTGACACCATATATACAGACAAAGCAGGATTATTGACCTCTGGCAAGATACCACTTGGCAGAGACAATGCTTTAAGATGGTTATTTTAGAGGACACAAAAGATACAGAACACAACTTCAGAACATTCTTTGTAGGTGTAAAAGAGCTTGATAAAGTTATTAAGAAGCAGTTTTGGTAGGGGAAAAGGTGCTCCCCCCCACCACACACACACACTCGCCATACTTGCAAGAAGTACCAGGAATGGAAATGACATTTTCTCTCCATTTCCAGTGCTTTTGTTTGACTTTTGGGGGGGGGGGGGGGGCAAAAAAGCCA